AAACCATGTATCTGCACCACGTGCAACCACCGCGGAATGCGGACATCCTGGATGGCCGGATAACTATTCAGGAACGTCTCCCAGTTTTGAGATAGATCGCTAGGGAGGACGTCATCCCACCCTAACTCTCTTAGCCAAATTTCCTGCATGAAAATTTTCGCTTGGATGACAAAGGGTGCAAGCCATCCCGCTGTATCGAATAGCTGCGCAATCTGCGATAGCACATTGCGCTTCGTACAGGACTCCCGATGAAGTACTTCGGGAGGAGCAAAGAAGAATTCATCGGCACTGGGTTGCCATCGGATCCCCAATGTCTTAGCGATGCTACTTTCTTCAAGCTCTAGGAAGTCAGCTCAAAGTAGGTGGTCGACCGGAATATCGCGCAGTACACCCTTGGGCGCTGTCCATTTTCGGAGTGGAAACCGCGCGGTGTCGAGTGCTTTGCGTAACTCTGAAATGGCGGAGATTGCCTGCGACTGAGTGTGAGCACCAGCCAGCACGTCGTCCACGTACATGTAGCTCTCCAGGATGTCGCTTGCCACTGGCAACTGTGGGCGTACCTCTTGTGCGATTTGCTTAATGACGCGAAGGGCGAGGTACGGTGCGCAATTGACTCCGAAGGTGACAGTAGCAAGCTCGTAGTCACACACGTCCCCATTACTGTCGCGAAAGAGAATTCGCTGATAGGGCGTGTGTTGGGAAGTGTTTTGCGGGGCAAAAAGAGGAGGATGTTAATTTGGTTGGTCACCAGAATCCGATTATTTTCATAGCGGCTGCGGAGAGCCGACCATGCGGACTCGAAACCGTCATTAGTGAGGGGGGATTTTTCTACGATGGCCTTCGGATCGCCCCTGGTCTTCTCGGTGAGGTAGTACAGCCTCTCTACCGGAGACAATCTAGGATTGTTGATCACGACCGCAGTGAACAGATCCCGGAATGTGGGCCAGCGGACGTAGTCCCCTGTGAATGCCTTAATATTGACGGGAGGCAGTCGACAGCCGCCCTGTTGGACTGACTGTGAAGGAGGAAGAACTGTGGATGTGGCCAGTTGGGCATTGAGGTCACTGAGGCACTGCTCAAATACCCCATAGCATTCACCGTATGTGTCACGGATGTCCGCTTGGATTTCTGGCTCCTCGTCAGTCATCACCGCGGAGCAGGCCTTATATTCGGCCTCGACGTCCGTCCACATGCTGAGGATTTGGCCTCGACGGACCTCGGACAAAGAGGCGGATGGGGCGGCGGTGATGCGCTCTGCCAGGTGCGACAGTCGGCCAATAGCGGCGACCAATTCGGTCCGAGCGACTGAGGTGGCGGATTGAGCCATTGTGATGCAGTGGCGAGAACTCATGGGGCTGCTGACGAAGGAGCCCTTCGGATCTTGTTTGGTCACAGCTGGAACCTTAAGAGTGACAGGAGACGGGATCAGAACCGATTTGGTCCTTGCCGCAGGGCTGCTACTGGCTGCTCTCGGAGTGAGGGGTGCCTTGATTCTCTGAGTCGGCGTAGTTCCGGAGGCGGACGAGGTACGTAGTCGGTTGGAAGAGGTCACAGGCAAAAGCTGGTTGCCGTCCTTGTGACCTGTTGGCATATTCCGAACTCACACACGCACAGAAGATCGGATTTGGAAGTCTTGGAGGGACAGAAGACTGATTTGAGTGGAATTCCAACATAAAGACGCCAGGAAACAAATATAACCCACTTATGGAAGGCTGTTAGGAAAAAGGCCTCGAGCTTGTTGGAAAACAATAGTCGGGTCGACTCGGATTGTTTGAGATCACCGTGAAGTGAAATTTCTCAAACAATGAGTGACCTATATTGCGCTGAGCCGAGGAGAGGACCGGTCACACTGATTTGGGCAATATTTTGCAAATATTGTTAGTGCGGGCTCATCCGTTTACCTCTTTGACGCAGTCGTGATCAGAACTGGTTTATTTGCGGATGGACAGCGGACGGAATGGCATTTATATCCTCGATAGTTGATTGGAATGGGCGATAGTTTGCTCTTTATGTCGGTTTGGATCGACAAAGTGCAGATAAACCTAATCGCCGTAAGCGTTACCGGAAACTACAGTCAAGAATATGCCTGCGGAGCGGGCGCTGGAGAACTATCGGGAGAAATACCGAAGGAAAACAGAAAAACTCGGAAAAAGGATAACGAAACGGTTTAAATTAGAAATCGTGGATCGTTCAATTTATTTCTTATAGTGTCGGTGTGTTTGTTTGGAAATTGTCTTTTTATTTTTTATTAATTTATTTTTGGTCGAACGCAAGACTCGGTTACGATACCGATATTTTTGAATTGCGCCACCTCTAATGCACGGAACAAAAACAACAACAAAAGACCGAAACACCAATTTGCTAATTGGCAGTGGAAATTGCCAAATAATTACTATAAGTGCGCCGTGCCTCGGTCTCGAGTAATTTATTCGGAGAGTGGACGATGTTGGAGTTGGGGTAGCGATCGTGAAAAATGGCTGAAGTGTACTTATATCGCGGAACTCGGACTTTTTGGAATTTTGGAACACAAATCGCGAATGGAAGGGATTTGTGGCACACGAAAATCGTACTTATCTTGGGATCCTGGTGGTGAAGGCGATGCCGTGCTCGAAGGCTGGATGTGGTTGGGGAAGGGGAAGTAAATCCGGCTCGAAGGACCAATGATTGAGCGTAGAGGCGTTGCGAAGTCCCACGGATGATTTCTCACAGATAAATACAAGGCAAAAAAGCGAGTTCCAGTTTCTTCACAATATATATGTTTATTCGTAGGGTTTAGGTAGTCGCGTGCAAAAGCAGGCCGTTTTGCTTAGGGTGGAAAAGCGAATTAAAGTAGATCGGTGGCACTCAAGCTGCCGAGGGCTGTCGGCGGCAAGAGCGGGAGCGTGAGCGTGGGCGGGAGCGAAAGCGTGGTGAGTATGCTCGCGAGAGCGCGTCGCCGGGGGGAAAATGCTCTTAAGTACGAGGGCGAGAGCGAGGGCGACCGCTTGTGTAGCTGGAACGCTAACAGCGATGTGTGGCTGGAATGCCAACAGAGCGGTTGCCACGCCAGCGCCGTCCTCACTCTGAAAAAATGGTTTTGCTATTTTTGAGTACGCCGGAATAAAACGCCTAAAATGGAGAATAATTCTTAACACTTTTGCATATTATGGTGATCCTTTGGCAACGGAAGATTCTTAATTGTTGCGGTGTGCTCGCAGTTTGGGCTTATTCCTCTTCCACTAATTGTATATCCTAAGAACTCGATACTTTCATAACCAAATTGACATTTACTAATCTTATTTTCTAATCGATATTCGGCGAGAATTCTTAATCCTCTACCTACTGTTATGAGGTGTTCAATTAACGATTTGGAACCTATAGCAATATCGGCCATAGAAACTACTACATTACCATCGCGAATTAATGGTTGGATGATAAAATTAATAAATCGCATAAATACTGCAGGTGAGTTCATAAGTCCGAAGGGCATTCTTGTATATTCGTACTAACCACTAGGTATGACAAAACATGTATGCTGCGCTGAACTCTCTGATACTTTTACTTGGTGATATCTGTGTTTCAAATCTAAATGTGTGAAAATTGTATTCCCTTCCAATCTCTCTAAACAGTCATCTATTAGAGGCAACGGATATCCAGCCTATAGCCTGTAATCTACACACAATCTTTTTATACCCGTACTCAAAAAAGAGTTAAGGGGTATATTAGATTTGTGGTAAAAGTGGATGTGTGTAACGCAGAGAAGAAAACGTTTCCGACCCCATAAAGTATATATATTCTTGATCAGCATCAATAGCCGAGTCGATAGAGCCATGTCTGTCTGTCCGTCTGTCCGTCTTGTTTGACGCCTGGATCTCAGAGACTATAAAAGCTAGAGGAACCAAATTTTGTTTCCAGACTCATGTGATATCACACTGCTACAAGAGTATTTTAAAATTTCGCTCCGCCCCCTTTCCCTCCCACAAAGGACGAAAATCTGTGGCAGGCACAATTTTAAAGATACAATAAAACAAAAAACGCAGTATCGTAGAGAATGACCATATTTACCAGATTGCCGAATCTGAATCAGATCGGATTATAATTATAGCCAGAATGAAGAAATTTTCATTTTCAGCTGCTTCCCCTTCCCCCTCCGGCAAACGAAAACGCAACTCATTTTCCTTCTCGCTCGCACACTCTGCCGCGTTCAGTGCGCGAGCAACCCCTAGCGGAGGAGATGTAGAATCGAAATGGAACATGTACCATCTACATGTTAGATGTAGAATATACATTTTATATGTAGATGTAGATATCAGATGTAGCAAAAAAATGTAAAATGTAAAATTTTTTTTTTTTTCTAAAATTTTAAAAAATCATAAGCTCAAAAATGGTTATACTGACTGAGTACGGGTATAAGTAGAGTCGAGTCCCCAGAAGCGACTCACACGTTCCTTCTCGTTTCTCCTGATTTTTTTTTAGCTAATATGTACTATTGCAGAACTATAGGGCGAGCTATTTTCTCTTATAAAGCCTTTTTTCAATAATTCATCTATTTGGGAATCTACTTATTTTTTCTCTTGATATGAAAGTCTTCTTGGAACGGAGCATACAGGTTATTCTGTCTTCATTTTAAGATTAATTTCATAATTATGCTGAATTGATGGGATGTTACTTAAATCTGAACAGTTAAATTTTAACAATTCAATGAATTTACTACGTTTTTCATCACTCCGCCTCGGGTCTATATTATAGGAGCAATTTTCATTTTTTATATTGTTAGATTGTATTACTATTATTATCGTTAACCTACAATTGTATTTACATATAATCTTGCACCTTGTATAAAATATCGTAATAACTTTCGATAGTCCTAGTTCTGCGAACTAGAACTATGTGGAATTAGGTCAGAGAGGGAATATCACTAGTATTGTTAACCCACATAATATCGACTCTTGCACCTTGCGTAAAATATCGTCTTGGTCGTTTAAGTATCGATGGACTAAACGAAAGATCGGAGCGAGGGAGACAGAGTCACTTCCTGGCTGAACGAAATTGAGAGGAGTACTAACATTTGACCTGCGGAACAAATCAAAGAATTAAATAAACATCCGTGGATATTCTGCGACAATAACTTCAGAAGTGGGATCGAGACACTTTAAAGTACAAGCCTACATAAGTATAGGATCAGTGGCATCCACGACAATAAGTATTTTCATCATTTCATAAATGGCTGATGAAATGATGGACAAAGAAAAAATTACAGAGTGGCTGCTGGAGAATGAGATAATTTTTCCAGCCAGCGCAACACTAAGACAGCTACGCAAACTTGCCATAAGTGGTGGAATGGAGGAGGTATCTGGAAGTCTGGAGAAATTGGAAATTGAAAACCACCATAACGTTAACATAGAGGGAAAAGTGTCTGAAAGCGATCAGATGGACGATTTAAAAGATGAAGAAGACTTGCTCGACGCAGCAATTAGGGTGGCTGAGAAGAAGAAGAAACTAGCTGCTCTAATGACAATGGATAATAATGTGACGGACGATATCCGAATGGTTAAGCAGCTTGTTGTCCCATTTTCCGCCAGTGAAAATGATGAAGGCTCCAAATGGATCTTGGATTTTGAACGGATGTGCAGAGGCGTGAACGAAAGCAACCATTTTCGACTTCGCTGTGTGCGAATGTTGATGAAAGCGGGAACCGAGGCGGACTTGTTCATGCGTGTCGACAAATCGAAGACTTACGATGAGTTTAAAGAAAACTTCCTGAAAACTTTTGGTCGCAGTAATTCAACTGCTGATGTGGTACTGCTCTTGAAGGAAACCACTTTCAATCCAGGGAAGAACTCCGTAATGGGATACATTCTTCTGATGGAAGAAATTGCTATGCGTGCCGACATCGAAGAAAAATTAACGGTTCAGTTTATCATTGATGGTTTTCGCGATCGTTCTACCAGTATCGCCTTATTGTATTCAGCGACGACCATTGGAAAACTTAAGGAGCTGGCCCGTCAATACGAGGCTTTAAGGAAGAGTACCCAGACGACTTTCAAGCGCTCTGAGATGAGTGCATCAGGACCTGACCAGAACCAGGTGCGCTGCTATAATTGTTCAGCGCATGGACATTACGCTTCATCGTGTCCCGCACCTCTGCGGGAGAAGGGATCGTGCTTCCAGTGTGGGTCCATGCAGCACAAGGTGAAGGATTGCCAACAGAAGCCTGTGCCAACTCAACGATCCGTGAATACAGCCAGCAACCAGCCGATGATGGACGACGGAGAGCAGCACAATATGTTTGTTCCTATTATGAATCAGGTAGGGGTATATTTTTACACTGATATAAAACGCAGGTATCATATTAAATTTCTTTCTGCCATGTTGGACACCGGTAGCGCTATTAATTTGATGCAGCGTGCGGCGATGCCTTATGTAAATTTTGATGATGTACTAAGACCAACTGAGTATTGTGGAGTAAATGGTTCAAGAATAAGCACTTTTGGAAAAATAGTTGTTAAAGTAAATTTTCATAACATAGAGAAAGAACTCATATTTTACGTTGTACCCAATAATTATGTATCTAGTAATGTCCTTCTGGGGCGTAGTTTCCTTGAACATTATGGAATAAAATTGATTTTTGAAAATAGAATTGAAAATTTAAAACGAGTAATGCAAGTAAGTATGGAAAATAGAATATTAGTGAACAGTGACAGTGACTTAATAGGAAATAGAATATTAGTGAACAGTGACAGTGACTTAATAGGAAATAGAATATTAGTGAACAGTGACAGGGACTTAATAGAAAACAGAACTGTAGAAATTAGTGACAGTGACTTAATTGAAAACTGACTTAGTAAACATTGACAGTGAAATTGAAAATAAAATATTGGTAAACATTGACGGCGACCCAATTGAAAACATAGTATTGACAAATATAAATAATGAGTTGAGATTATCAGATAGCAATAACAATGATTTAGTGAAGGATGGAAATGATGATAAGATTAGTGACCAGTTAAATTTAAAAAGTAGTGACTATTTTTTAAAAGATAATGAGCATATGGCAAAGGAAACATTAGGAATATCTGACATATATATACCATATATATATAGTATTGATATAACAAATGAAGATGACTGCTTCAATATAGACCCGAGGCGGAGTGATGAAGAACGTAGTAAATTCATTGAAGTGATCAAATTTAACTATTCAGATTTAAGTAATATCCCAGCAATTCAGCATAATTATGAAATGAATCTAAAACTGAAGACAGAAGAACCTGTACGCTCCGTTCCAAGAAGACTTTCATACCAAGAGAAAAAAGAAGTAGATGCCCAAATAGATGAATTATTGAAAAGAGGCTTTATAAGAGAAAGTAACTCGCCCTATACTTCTGCAATAGTATTAGTTAAGAAAAAATCAGGAGAAAAAAGAATGTGTGTAGATTACAGGCAGCTTAATAAGATATGCATTCGTGATGGATATCCGTTGCCTCTAATAGATGACTGTTTAGAGAGATTGGAAGGGAATAAAATTTTTACAATTTTAGATTTGAAACACGGATATCACCAGGTAAAAGTATCAGAGAATTCGGTGCAGTATACAAGTTTTGTCATACCTAGTGGTCAGTATGAATATACAAGAATGCCCTTCGGACTTATGAATTCACCAGCAGTATTTATGAGATTTATTAATTTTATCTTGCAACCATTAATTCGCGAAGGTAATGTAGTAGTTTATATGGACGATATTGCTATAGGTTCCAAAACGTTAAATGATCACCTCATAACAGTAGGTAGAGTATTAAGAATTCTCGCTGAATATCGATTAGAAATTAAGATTAGTAAATGTCAATTTGGTTATGAAAGTATCGAATTCTTAGGATATACACTTAGTGGAAAAGGAATAAGCCCAAACTGCGAGCACACAGCAACAATTAAGAATCTTCCGTTGCCAAAGGATCGCCATGAAATGCAAAAGTGTTTAGGATTATTCTCCTATTTTAGGCGTTTTATTCCGGCGTACTAAAAAATAGCAAAACCATTACAGGAACTTACGAAACCAGGGGCTAAGTTTGAACGTCAAGACAAGTGCATACAAATTTTTGAATATCTGCGAGAGAAACTAATTTCGTTCCCAGTATTGGCTCTTTATAATCCAAATCGAGAAACAGAGCTGCATTGTGATGCAAGTAGTGAAGGTTTTGGTGGAATTTTGTTGCAGAAACAAAATGATGATAAGTTTCACCCAACGGCATTTTTTTCACAGAGAGCGACCAAACTAGAAGCAAGATATGAAAGTTTCAAGCTCGAAACATTAGCATTGATTTATTCATTAAGGAAGTTTAGAATCTATTTAGAAGGAATTCCGTTCAAAATTATAACGGATTGTAACGCAGTAGTCTTATGTTTAGGAAAAGGACGCCTTAATTCAAGTATTGCCAGATGGGCCATGGAGTTAGCTAATTATAATTACACTCTGAAACATCGCAATGGAAAATATATGGCCCATGTTGACACGCTTAGTAGATATCCTTCAGCGCTTAATCAAGATTTTGAATATGAGCCAGTAGTTACAATTCATGAAAGTGATAACAAAGACCGAATAGTTTCCGTAATTGACATTGATGACATTAGTCTTCAGCTTCAGATAACACAAAACAGAGACAACTATATAGAGAAATTGAAAGAACAATTGGAACATGGACCTGTTAAGAAATTTTCTTTGAGTGATGGAATTGTGTATAGATTAAATGAGAATGACGTCGAATTATTTTATGTCCCAGCTGAAATGGAAACGCACATAATCAGAAGAGTTCACGAGAAGTTATGTCATTTAGGAACTGAAAAATGTATGAAAGAAATCCTAAGGCACTATTGGTTTCCGAATATGAGATCTAAAATTGATTCATTTATAGGAAACTGCTTAAATTGCATAATGTTTTCAGTGCCCACACACGCAAACAACCGAACACTTCACAATATTCCTAAGCGACCAATCCCATTTGATACATTACACGTACATCATTTTGGACCACTTCCCGCTATTATATCAAAGAAAAAGCATGTGCTAGTCATCATTGACGCGTTTACGAAATTTGTAAAATTGTTTTCTGTAAATACGACAAGCACGAAAGAAGTCAACAGTTGTTTTTTAAAGTATTTTCAATTCTATAGTCGTCCACGTAGAATTATAAGTGATAGAGGATCATGTTTTACATCATTAGAATTTAGTAAATTTCTGTTAGAAAATAATATAGAACATGTGAAAGTAGCAACTGCGTCACCTCAAGCGAATGGTCAGGTAGAACGGGTGAACAGAACCATAAAAGCTATGTTGGCCAAAATAACTGAGCCAATAAATCACGAAGATTGGAGTAAACTCTTGATAAAGGCAGAATTTGCAATTAACAACTCAGTGCACTCGACCACGAAAGAATTGCCTACAGTGTTGTTATTTGGAGTTCAGCAAAGGGGTTGTAATATTGACGCGTTGACAGAATATTTAGATGACAAGCAAGACCAACCGCAAGGTGATTTAGAATCAATACGTAAGAAATCTTTAGATAAAATTGAGCATAGAGTGAAGAGTATTTTGAAAGGAAGCACAAAACCCACATTGAGTTCTTAGAGGGAGATTTCGTTGTAATGAGAAACATTGACACCACAATCGGTACAAATAAAAAATTTGTTCCAAAATACAGGGGTCCGTACATCGTCAGGAAGGTATTGCCGAATGACAGATACGTGTTAAACGACATTGAAAATTGCCAGATAAGTCAAATCCCGTATGACGGTGTTGTAGAGGCATGCCGGTTGAGGAAATGGGCCGATTGGCGTAATCAGTGTGAAAATAACTCCAACCTAAGTAGTTAACATTTTATATATATACACATATAATTACAATTAACCTTAATTACAAACTCACGATCGAGGACGATCTAATTGTCAGGATGGCCGAGCTGTTAGATTGTATTACTATTATTATCGTTAACCTACAATTGTATTTACATTTAATCTTGCACCTTGTATAAAATATCGTAATAAGTTTCGATAGTTCTAGTTCTGCGAACTAGAACTATGTGGAATTAGGTCAGAGAGGGAATATCACTAGTATTGTTAGTGATAGTATCGTCTTGGCCGTTTAAGTATCGATGGACTAAACGAGAGATCGGAGCGAGGGAGACAGAGTCACTTCCTGGCTGAACGAAATTGAGAGGAGTACTAACATTTGACCTGCGGAACAAATCAAAGAATTAAATAAACATCCGTGGATATTCTGCGACAATAATATCAATACTATATATATATGGTATATCTACGTCAGATATTCCTAATGTTTTCCCTTGCTATATGCTCATTATCTTTTAAAAAATAGTCACTACTTTTTATATTTAACTGGTCACTGATCTTATTATCATCATTTCCATCCTTCAATGAATCATTGTTAATGCTATCTGATAATCTTCAGTCAATATTTCTATTTGTAAATGCTATATTTTCAATTGGGTCGCCGTCAATGTTTACCAATATTTTATTTTCAATTTTGCTGTCAATTAGTAAACATACTTTTTTTTCAATTAAGTCACTGTCACTACTTTCTACCGTTTGGTTTTCTATTAAGTCCCTGTCACTGTTCACTAATATTCTATTTCCAATTAGGTCACTGTCACTGCTCACTAATATTATATTTCCTATTAAGTCACTGCTTATAGCTTCTAACTCTCGATCGGCGCAGAAAAACTAAGTCCCTATACCACTCCCTAGCATGCACTATTAATTAATCTAGGAGCTAAACTAGTTTTAAATAAGAGAAATTTTACAAATTTGTTTGGGGAACCAGAGGCTTTTACAAGAAAGGCAAACCTGGACTGAACCCAGCTTTAAATTCCTATTATAAACTATTTTTGGAGCTTCTAGGCCACTAAGCCGTATTCTGGGTCCTATCTGAGCCCTATTATAGGAGATATTTGCTCTTTCTTTTTGCATTTGGGAGGCGTTTTTCAAGTTTTGCTCAAGCCTATTACTGCTATCGCTCCTATATTGGCTAAATCTCTGACTAGCACTTCTGGCAGCGCCAATTGCGAACCGACGAGCTGCGGCACGAGCAGTTTGATGTGCCAGAGTCTCTCGCTCTCCCAAGATATACCTGCGGTCTATTAAACTTCTTTCTTGGGCCCTGCAAACTCTATCCTGCTCTCCTTCTAACAGTCGTCTCCGTTCGTAGTATCTACGCAGGTGTTGTCGCCTCTCTGTATTTGTCCTTTGCTCCTCACGTCTAGTCTGCGCGTCCGTGAGCCTTATTATGTGTTGTACTGTATTTTGTGCCTGTTCTCTAATCCCATAGTTCAGGTCCTGTCTTCGTCTGGACCGACGCTCAGTATCGGTCACTTGCTCCTCACGTCTAATCTGCGCGTCCGTTCGTCTCACTATATGCCCTACTGTGTTTTGTTCCTGCTCTCTATTCCTATAGTCTAAGTCCTGTCTTCGTCTGGATTGACGCACAGTATCGGCCACTTGCTCCTCAAGTTTAATTTGAGCATCTGTTTTTCTAACTATATGTTCGGCTGTATTTTGTTGCTAGCTCTTTTAAAACTTAATCCAAAACATTTGGATAAAAAATATTTTGAGCATA